TGGTAATCAGTTTTGTTTTGACTTGTTTTCTAGATATCCAAAGCCGAAGTTCGTTTTTTAGCTAAAATAACTGTTGCTGCCACCTGTGACTAACTGTCCGCATGTTCGTTCCTAACCGTCCTTTATGATGTTATTGGCAAAATGAAAGGAATCAATCTCCGGTTTTCAATTTTCTTCAGTACTATGCACAATACTATCCCACCAACGAGTCAAACTAATACTGAGTTCCCAGCAGTAGTGGATATCAGTATTGTTTTTGAAAGGACTCAGACTTCCGATAGACATAGATGAAGTCACAGATGCTACCAATCTATTGCAGAGGGTTTGTTATGAAAAATATACCATATAGCAATAATGGAGGGGTTGTACTCATTTGGTAGTGCGTTAAAGCATGCTTAACATTGAAAAATCGGAAATCTGCCATCAGTGTGTAGTGTATTTTTGCTGTTTTGGCCATAAAAGGAAGCCGAAGGGTCATGATCAGGGAGTAAAAAGGTAATTAACTGTTGTTAAGCTCACTTTCTTATAGATCATATTTCACTACTCGCAAATCTGTGTTTTTTACGGCATGACGTCAACCGGAACCTAATATTTTCACCCTTACGATGAAAAGTACCTGCAAAATTTCACCTTCATATTCGAATTATTTTTGGAGAACTGTCTTCTAGTTTGAGTGCTTCGTACGCCCTAGGAGACTAGATTCCTACATTATTCATAGTTCCAGTATAACTTTCTAACGCAGTAAGTTCAGAGTAGACACTAGTTTTTCTAAATAAGCTTGTTGATATAATATCCGTATTCTCTATTTCAGTTAATCGATGAAGACGTGTGCCACGTGCATCTGCTGTATACTGCCATTTTACTGAAATTCTAACTGTTATATCTTACTTCAAAAAAATAAAATTGCTATATGCAGCAAATACAGACTTATTTGTTTTGATGGAGGTAGGGGGGTTCATGGGATTTTTAGCAGGGCTGTAGTAACATTCTCACTAAAGAGCTAAGCGAATGCGTAGACCAATGTAAGGTACCATGCAGGGTGCCTTTGAGTTACTAGTGTTTCATTAGTGCGGGTAGGGGCATTGCTTGCTTATCATATGGCATTTGAATAAGGAGCTATAGGATTAAACGCTGGGACGGTTATGATTTGTAACGCATGTCCATCCATCAGTTGCCGTAACAACTCATGGCGGCTAGAATAATTTGTGAGAGGACCCGAGTCTGTAGGTTTCCCAAGAAAATGACGAAAATATGCACTAAATCACTTAAACTTACTACAAATGAACTTGATGCTGTGAGGCTCGTATATCACAAAGTTCTTGCAACGATTAAGTAGATGAAACAGAGTAGCACTAGATTTAAAAATTTATTCAGGAACTTTCATTAAGAATCGAATATTAAACAAATGTTTAAACGAAGTCCTCGTTTAAAAGTTGCACTGGTAATGTCAAGCTACAGTCTTTGTTGTTTTTTCCAAACGAAAGGTTAAAAGAAGTAACTCAAAAAGTACTAGAAGTGGTTGCGAGACTAAAATGGACATCCAGCATCCTTTTTATAATCTGCTGTTAGTTGGGTCTCCCGTAAACAGTTTCATAGGGCTGAAAATGGCACAGGTATTCAGTGTTTGACAACGCTTTTACCAGTAACACCTTCTAATATAACTCGTACCCACCAATAGAAATCAAAAGACAGAATCGAGGAGATCAGAAGTTGTATTTGACGATTGCCAATATATCGGAATTGTCTGGTCTAGTCTGGCTAGTCATTGCAGTAGATGTTGAACACAGCGTTCCCACTCGTGATCTGGTTCGGATGCATAACCGAGCGCTTTCAGCTACGTGAGTCCACTAAAACTAATCTGGTCAGCATCCAATGTCGAAAACTTACAGAGCTATTTATTTTGGGGATTTATTTACCGCTACAGGGCCATAGTTCTAAGGGCGAAATACTTCTTAGGATCTTTGAAGCCTCACTCCTGTTGCATTCCAAGTGAGAAAATAGTAATGAATTTAGTCAGAAATGTGGAATAGATAAATAACTAAATTACATGTTTTTTAGCAAATAATTTGTGCAGTTGTGATTTACCTGGAGTTCATGAATATTCGACCAGGTCAGCTACTATTACTTGTGCAAAGCATAATATGGACTTAGTACCCTATCTCAATGCTTTTATTATTTTGCTCTCATTTAAGTATTCCCATGCATCTGCGTCTAGTTTAACAGGAAAACATACAAGCAAGTAAGTGTCTGATAAACTAATAGTCCCGGTTTTCAAAAAGATTCTTAACATTCGTCCACAGCCAGCTGCATTTAATTGAGACACAGAACACTCATCTTCTAAGACTGTATACTGCTGTTTTGCGGGCAAATAAAAGCTCAGACACTTAGCTATCTTGCTACCGATGTTATTGCTGGGGAAATTGTTTAATGACAGTGATCATGAAGTATGGTTAGTGATCGATGTACAGTCTAGAAATAAACACCAAACATAATTATCGCTAACTTATAATGTATGACAGCAACAGCATCAAAGGCACGTTTTTTCCTATTTTTAATCTGACTGATCTGAATCCGTATACACATTAGAAACAGGCAACTCTACTTACTAAACTGATCTGTTTCGTTACAGGCTTCAAGCACTATACTTAAGTATATCATAATTCTTTCAACTAAACTGAATTATACGACAATCGAGAACACTAAACTAAGCGTGTCATAGTTATTGTTTCATTTGCTCAGACATGTTGCTCAAAGTAGTTAAATTGACATAATTAAGCCGATAAAACCAAAACACGCAATATAGCCCAGTTGAACTTACCTAAAAAAAGAGAACGATACATATATACTGCTTTCATACTGAAGACAACAGGTAGTTGTTCATAGAAACATAGTTTACAGTACAACAAACCTTTCTTCAGTAAAATCATGCACTGACAGTCTATCTGGAAACAATCAACTATGTGAATAAACTCACTATGACTTGAGATATCATCCCAGCGTGCAATGGACGTACAGTGTAACGCAGTCGGACGTGGCGAATAAAAATTAAAAACAGAGCGAAATTAACTACATAATCTAGTTATTTAATTAAAAATACATTATGAGATGACAAAATCTGTGGTTATTTGAACGCACAGATGACCGATATTACACTGGGCGATACATTAAACTTACATGGTTGCGTTGCGGATAATATCACCCTTTTAGTATAGATTATTCTTGTCTCACTAACCCATTAGTCGTTCATGAAAGCTAGTGAGCTCTCAAGGACCAAAAGCTATCTGTAAACGTAGCCTACATTAACTTCAGCATAGCTTTTGACAAAGATCCGCACAACCGGCTAATATATAAGCTAAGAAACGTCGGGATTGGTGGCGATCTATTGATGTGGATAAAAGACCTCGTAGTTGGGCGCCAACAAAGAGTAAGGGTGAACTCAAAGCTATCAAGCTAGAAAACTGTGTTTAGTGGAGTGCCTCAGGGTACAGTTTTGAGGCTAGTGTCATTCCTTTTGTATGTAAATGACCTTCCTCGTCTCCTATCATCATCGATCTTGCTATATGCTGACGATTTCAAGATATGGAGAACGATGTGATGTAAGGGTGATAGCTTGGAACTCCAAACTGAGCCGGAGAAATTTTCTGAATGGTCTCAAACCTGGCAGTTCCCAATATGTACTCCTAAGTGTATTGTGATGCATATCGGTCATCAATGTACAGATACATACACGATGAATAACACTGAGTTACCTGTTGTCCAGACACACAATGACTTAAGAGTCATCGTTAGCCAAGACATAAAAACTACTGCCGTGCTATATCCGCCAAAGGTTCTAGAACTTTGTGGTCAATACGTAGGGCTCCTAATCATGTCGACGCTAAAACGCTTTTGACTTAGTATACAGCGTTCGTTCGTTCTAAACTTGAGTACTTCATACAAGAGGCTAGCACCTGCTTAAAAAAGATAGTGAGCTTTTGGAAAAGGTTCAGCGAACAGCAACTAAGCTGAGTCCCGGAATAACGAAGCTTCCGTATGATGCTCGGCTGGCTAAGCTAAACCTATTCCCGTTGTCATGACGAAGAACTAGAGGCGACTTGATTACATTAAAAAGAAGAATATATTTGTAAAATCTCAGCGAATGAATTTTAAGTAAATCCAACGTTTCGCCTGGTATTCTGGTCCAAGCTTTTTCAAGGAAAATATAATCAAACAACAAAATTATCGAATATAAATAGGTACATGGTTCTTCGGTTTACTGTACACTGAATAAGTCATCCAGTCGACGTGAAGGATTTCTTTATAGAGAGGTATTTGTATTAATGTGTTGATTATATTTTCCTTGAAAAAGCTTGGACCAGATTGCCAGGCGAAACTTTGGATTTGCTTAAAATTCATTCGCTGAGATTTTACAAATATATTCTTCTTTTTAATGTCTCAAATTAACTCGGCGCCCAAATATTGTGAAACTATTCATTCAAATTTAGACGAAAGTTCTTATTTACGACTTGATTACAGTTTTCAAATTGCTTAGTGATAAATTTACACCTGATATGCCCTAATTTTTTTGTCTTCCTAAACAGAAAATTTACGAGGACACTCCAAAAAACTTCACAAGCCCAGGACAAATTACTTGCCAGTTGACTGTCAACTTTCCAATCGAATCTTCAATGAGTGGAATGCATTAACTCAGCACGTGATTGAGGCTCCATTCGTCGACCCTTTCTAAAGAAAGTTTGATCAGCTGAGAGACTATAATTGCCAGGACTAACACAGGCCATCGCACCTCCTGTCCTTTCCAAACTGAAACTGAATTTCGCGACAAAATCTCAGACCTGCTATGGTAAATCTGATTGGTTTGTCCATAAATTACAGACTCGTTCAAACTGCATCGTGAGTCGGAAACAGATTAGAGGAACGAATTGCTCATAGCTAAGATGGCACTGATTTCAGATTGTTCCTATTGTCTTTAAATGAAATTACAATAGTAATTTTTGCTATCTACATGATGTTTTTTGAAATGAATTAATAATTGACCAGGTTTCTTCACACTTTTAGGTCTGATTATTCATTGTTGTTTGTTATCAGCTTCACATTGTCACAGATCTATGAAGTGACTTAATTAATCTGTGTTTTATAGTAAGCAGTACATGGAATAAACGTCAGGCAAGGAATGAAATTTGAGTGCTAACAGTCGTATTTCGAATCTTGGCGATACGCTTCCCAAGTAAGCGGGTGGTGCTGAACCATGGTTCAGCAGTATTTGACTTGAGTAGTATGTGAAGCAGTATGAAACAACAATTTATGACTAAAGGAACTTTTCAAGTGTCATATTCGTTTATTGTGCTCGTGTTCCAGTCCAATGTTATGTCAGAATGTAGTTGCTCAACAGTAACCATATGGACCCAAACAACCAAAAAAGGGCAAATAAAGGCGATAAAAGGGGAAATAAAGGGGTAAATGCTTTGGAAGAGAAAGGGGCAAACGCATCAGAATGTCGCCCTTTTCGCCAGTCCGGGGAAAATACTGCGGATTTCCCCCTTTTTGCCGCTTTGTCGATAAATTGCCAATTTTTCGCCTAGTTATCCGCTGAATTTCCTACTTTTCGCCTAAATTCCTGTCGAATTGCCTAGTTTACGCCTAAATGTCTACCGAATTGTCTACTTTTGGCCTAAATACACACAGAACTCCATATTTTCGATCCATTGATATAAGCTACAACATATTCAATATGCTTTAGCTTATTGAACAATTAAACCATCGATAATTGTTCAGTGTCTTACTGGAGATATACATCCTACCATAGTCAAATTATGACCCATTAAGAATGCATGTCTATCCAGTTGTTCAGAAAACGAAAACCCGATTAAGTTCTCGTCCCGGATAATTCATCATAATGGGAAACTCAATATATAGATGAATAATTTCAAAGTCATTCGTATGGGATATACATCTTTCACTAAAGTACTTGTCGGCCGTTCATCAGTAAGTGAAAAAGCTACTTTAACAGGTCACAACTACAAATAATGTCTAAACTGTAGTTAGATTCATAGATAACACCAGCATAATGTAATGTCGTATATTACTTGTGTATTCATATTTTCACGAATGAACTAAAATGTTGTTTGTTGTCACTTTAAAGCGTTGATTGAATAATCTAATCTGGCCAACCTTTATAAAAACTAGTAGTTATTTCATCCCATTTCCTCGGTAGTATGCATATTTAGCAACCGATTAATAGAGTACTGTTTTTGGCCACAGGTGCCCCAGCCTTCGAACCATTATAAAGCAAATGACGAAAAGGATCCGGTCTCAAAAACAAGTTGGAGTAGGCGATATTGAGGACGGTGTCTCGGAGCATATGAAACGTAAATGGGAACCACCAAACTGGCGGGCTCAACTTAGCAATATTCGAAAAATGCGCGAAAGTCGCGACGCCCCGGTAGACTCGATGGGTTGCGAAAGATTAGCTGATGAAACAGAACATCCGAAAGTATGATAGCCTTTGCAAAATATTTTGAAACTCATAGACATTCAGATTGCAGGTACTGATAAGTCTTATGTTGTCAAGCCAGACGAAAGATCAAATTACGGCAGCTGCAATGGAGCGTCTGAAGTTGAGAGGGTGCACGCTTACAACATTGACAAGTATGAAGACAGAAGACTTGCAGGAATTGATATACCCAGTGGGATTTTATAAGGTAGCATCTAAGTTCGCCAGAGCTTCTCTTAGACAAAAGCTTTGAATATAAAGAAAACGTGCGAGATCTTAAAGGAAAAATACAACTCAGATATACCAGAGACTGTTGAGGAGTTATGCACCTTGCCTGGTTAATGTGTTTACATTTCCTGTTGACCACTCTAGGTGTCGGTCCGAAAATGGCATATTTAGCAATGCAGTGTGCGTGGAAAAAAGTGACTGGAATCGGTGTCGATACACATGTACATCGAATTATCAATCGTTTAAAATGGAACAAAAAACCAACCAAATCTCCAGAAGAAACTCGTCTGGCCCTCGAAGAATGGTTCCCAAGGTAGTAATTGGAATATAATTGGTAAATACCTAGAGTTGTAATTCATGTATGTGGGAAACAGTATCGTGCTAGTCGGTTATTTTTTCGTTGGAATTTTATCTTTATGTTAATCTGGACAGGTATATAGATCATTAAAAAAAGGGGCGTCAATGAAAACCAAGCTTTAAGCATCTGATTATTTCACTAATATGTATTGTCATTTGTGGATAGAAATCCATTCAACACCAGTTGAGCGTATTTAAAGCCCTTTAAACATCAAAGTGGATACAAAAAAATAGTTGCGGGTCTCTCCTACTTCGGGTTTTGGCAGACGTTTAGTATTACCAAACCCACGTGGCTTGGTGAAACGTTATAAATCAAATAAGTCGACCACATATGTTGCATTAACAATATTTATTATCGGTGGCTTTATTCAGTACCACGTTTTTGGTGAATTATAGGATTCTTAACACAAGGTTTTTAATTTTCTTTTTAAAACGAGACTGATAACTGCATAGATACACACGAAAGTTAAGTAGATAAAGTATCTATGGCAAATTGAAATGTTTGTTAGGATCTGAATCTGTACTTCTTCAATTAGAAACATGTTTGAGAATACAAGCTATTGACTAGATTAATTCTGACAATCTGTTCGTCACGATCAATGTCTATTCCCGCTTTCCTAGATAAGGTGTTGTAGAGCTTTTTTATTACATTTGCTTGCGTGCATGGATTTTAATGTGACGTTTCGTCCTATTCGAAGATATACAAGAAGATATGAATGAGGTGAATGTTTAGTGTCTGATAAAATAACTTCTACCGGGAGTTCGCAAGACTTTAGATTAATGACCGCAAAAGATTCACCACACACCCTGCTAACTGCCTTCAGCACACCGCAATACAACATCAGATAGAGACTGCAATGATGTTTGCCTAAGTGGTTCAACTTGATGTATGACAGATGGAATCATTTTATTCTAAAGAGACTTCCTCATCGTTAAAACTTTCGTGCTGTTGAGTATTAGACGATAAGCAAAAAAGATCGGCCCCTGGAAGGGTTGATAACACTGACCAAAGGTTGAAAATGACCATAAATCAAGCGCCTGACAACTGAGTTTCTTGTCATTTATAATATATGGAGATAACTTATCCTTGTTTTAGTCTCGTGACAATTTTTACGTTAAGAACTAGTTCAGGAACTAAAGAATATTGACCTCTTAAGTTATGTACGACAAAAGTAACTTAAGCTGCAGCCTTTGCCATGCTTAAATCTCTCGAATGTATCCTGTTCTTTTGAGTAAAAAGCATCGGAGCTGGAGTAATTACATAAATTTTTTAAATGACTGGGCACTTAGATGTTTTTGTCGTCACTGTACGAACCATGAAAGTAAGATATGGCAAAATGATTAACTCCAGTGATCTTTATAGGAAAATGTAATGCAGAAAACCAGGAATTATTTGGCTTTATGGTCATACACATACGCTCACTAACGAATTTCGATTGCTTTTAGGGAACACTGGGATGAAATTAATTGGTTACTAGTCGGTTTTGGCCAACAAATTTGTCGCCCAGTAAATCCAAACTGTAAAGAATGTTTAAATCTATCAATTTGTCCATCTGCGTCGAAATTTCATACGAAAACAAAGAAGATCTAATTTGAAGATCGACAATTTGCATTTATCTCCCATTTCAACTACTACAAAATACTTTCTGAGATCATAAGTTATTTTTTTTAATAAATAAAACAATCATAATCAAAGCTCGTATGTTCCAGATTCAGTTCGTGAACAGATTTGGGATTTTTTACTTCAACTATGCTTGTTAGATACGGACCAAACTGAAAGATAAGGGAATGAAACAATATATTGTAAATTTACACAATATGTATATTTAGTTATTGGAAAACCTGCATTTCTTTAAATATTAGTTTACCAACGGAATAACAATTATCTGTTAAGAAATTGATTATAATTTATTTTTACCAAGTTTAAATAGTAAGTAAATTTCGTAAAATCAGAAATGTATTCGTTATGATTGACACGGGAAATGTAAGTGATGAACCAAAGCCATGTGAAGAAACAAACCAGACTATTGTATAGAGAAGTGCAGTTCCCAGATGTATTGATGAAATGGTGCGCAAATTTGTCCTTGTGCTTTTCGTAACAATTTCGTCTATTAGATGATAAGGTTTGATGGTACAACAGAGAACGCGCTGCTACTACACTAGTTTGTGCAGTATGGTAATATCAGTGCCACTGACAAAGTTTGTGTACATACACATACTCGATAAGGTGGATGAATTACAATATTAAATATGAGTTGGTTACATAAGCTATTCAAGAATTCCTCGAAGTATTCTACCCATCTATTACTCTGTCCTTGAATTCAGTGACTGGCTTGCCTTCCTTGTTGTTGACCAGTCTCCCTGGTTTACTATATTTCTCTAGCAGTTTCCTCAACGAGTCATGTAGTTGTCTCATATTTCCTTCTGTTACAGATATTTCCGCTGTCGTTGTCAGGTCTTCCACGAATTTCTGCTTGTCGGCTCTAATGCTCTTCTTCACTTGCTTGTTTGCTTCTGTGTATTCAGCCTGTGCCTTGACTTTCTGTTTTTGTTCGATTAATGTTAATTGCTGTATTTTTGTTCTTTCTTCCCTGAATCCCGTCCAGGGTTTCCATAGAGATCCATTCCTTATGATGATGATCCTTGCGACCCAGCACCTCCTGACACGTTGAAGTTGATGGTTCTTTGATCCCTTTTCAGCTGTCCTCTATAGTAGTTTCTTCTTCTTTGAGTAGATTTTGTAAGACATGGAACCTGTTGTTGAGAACTATCTTGAACTCGTTAAGTCTGTCAGTATCTCGGAATAAGGTTGTATTGAACCTTTGTAATTTTGTTTCTCCAGTTGTCCAGTCCTTTAGCTGCAGTTTCATCTCTGTCACAACCAGGTAGTGATCAGAGGCTATGTCAGCTCGTCTCCTGCTTCTCACACCCTACACTCACCTTTTGAATTTTTCAGTGACAAATATGAACGGTCTAGTTGTCCGTAGTGTGTTCCGGTGAGACAAATGCAGCTTTGTGTATGCGTTTGTGTGGGAATATTGTGCGCATATAACTATGCATTTGAATGAACTTAATTTTGTAAATCTGTCACTATTCTCGTTCGTTTTTTTACCAGTCCTCATATAAGAACATGGTTGAACAGGAAAGAAATTATATTCCAAATCACAAAGGTAGATGTAAGTAAGAAGCACAATAAGGAAAAACGTTAGTGTATCTATAGTTTTTACAAGGGAAGATTCTAGAGTCTTCTCTAAGTATCGACTAGCGCTGATTGGATAAGAAATAGCCAGTCAACATGCAGCAACACAATCGTGCACGAAAGATGCTTTAATCCAATATATGTCTCGCTAACACAGTCAGTCCATGTCGTCGCATGATATCTCCGTAACCGTTGCTGTCCATTCCGACTTTGGCGTTTAGATCTCCCATCAAGATTGTCAGTTTCTTTCCTGGGCGCTTCGCTACGATCGATTGTAACCTTTCATAAAACTAATTTTTATCGTCCCAATTGCTATCATTGGTGACTGCATAACAGGATAATATTCATTGTCATTCCCTCCTTCTTTGTTTTGAAGGATGATTTGATGATCAAGGGTCCATGAGATTTTCATCCATTAAGTGCATTTCTTGCTTCTTTGGACAGCATCAGTTCAGTTTCGTGAGTGTATGGAGCATCTTCCTCTTTGTGACCAGAGTAAAGCAGAATCTCTCTCGTACATAACCTTTGGTGTCCAGCTAGAGTCCAAAGAGTTTCGTTGATTCCAAGAACCACCAAGTTTTATCTCCTTATTTCCGTTATTATTTGACTGGTCCTCCCACAATTTCCAGAAGTTTCATGTACTTATAAAAATTGTTGTTCTGGTTGTTAGAAGGGCCATCGGCCTCGTGACTTCCGAATACTCGATTTTCATGATGAGGCGTCATAATTCTTCCTTTCAACTGGAAGAACATAGTTTGAATAGTTTATTCTGGTTAGCGTTTTTTTTAGTAAGGTTGTTTTTTCTACAGGTTGGGTTGCGGACCCCACGCCCAACCCTCCTCCTTTACCCGGGCTTGGGACCGGCAGTAGCCCTAGAAGAACTACAGGCGGAGTTATGACATACGGAGCGTTCTTTAAATTAACTTAGATTCCGAAAAACTAAGCAACTACTTTCCAATTGAGGAATAATCTGAGATCCCCAAATTATAATAAACTTGATACACAATATACCCAGTCACAAAAATTTATTGAACTATTGAAAAAGCAGATATCTAACTCACCAATAATAACCACAAGAATTATAACAGCTAATCCTCCAATAATAAACCACATCTACAATAAAATCAAACAGGAAATGTTTTCGCAAAATTCCATTGTTGACCAAAATAACTGGAAATTATATTTGTTAAGTACAAAACTGCAATCTAAGAGGACTCACTTATAAGAACTTTTAAAAACAGATTAGGCAATAGAACTTTGCGTTTTTAATCATATCGCAGTGGTGAATTTCACAAGCTGGAGAGGTTTCAACACTAATCGACATTTCGTAGGGCAATGTACTGTTTTCTTTCTTTTTTAATGGTGAAATTCTCTTAGATCATGTTAGAAGGATGACTTTTCAAACTTATTTATGCAATGATATCAGTGTTGAAGATGGTATACTTTAGCCATTGTTTCATTTTTTATTGTAAACATAAGTATTATTCATTAGCGAAATTCAGCTGAAAGTAGATTGTTCGAGGAGGTTCATAAGTGTCTACATTTCAATTCATCCATCCATGAGCATGAAAATAGTAGGATAGATATAGGATTTAAACATATTTTCTAAGATATCAGTCCTTATGGTTATGTATGTACTGTAGCAAGGAATTATGTATCATAAACAAGTTCTTGATGCTTCAGTGAATACTTTTGAAATTACTTAAAGCTTGTAATATAAAATAACATCTTGTTAGTTGCGGAACTTACGATATATATATATATATATATATATATATATATATATATCATTCCTTAGAAAATCAAAATTAATCTTGGCCAATCACGCACACTTACCATTGGAAAGATTTTGGGTGAGCCCAGTGTATTCAAAGTGATTTTAATTGTGCGTAAGCAATTGCTCTGTTAACCGTATCTGTTGTATTGTTTAAGTCATTATGATACACTAATTATTACTTGTAAGGTAATACGAATTAGAAACAGAATTAATTGAGTTGCAGCATTCTAATGAAGTATATGTAAATGTTTTTTTTCTAACAAAAAGGGGAACATTTTATTCAGTACTGAATCTGTTCGTTTGAAAAGAAAGTATGATTAAAATTAATTCCAGTAGACTAAGATCTCTCCGCTGTGAGAGAATCCACCTTGGTTCCCAAAAGGAGTGTCGACGATTTTATTAAGCATTAGGATTTCCTATGAGATTAATCCAGCAGAAAAATATCTTTGGTAAAGAGAAAATTCTAACTGCATAAATCTAAGACCAAATAGTCCATCTAATTTACATCTACAAACAGAAATAACTAAGTTTCTATGTAATTAGACGTTTTACAGCTTAAAATAATTCAATCTACATGTACGGATTGCATTTACTAAATTAAGAAAAAAAACCCTATGAATCTGGCGACTAAGTCATTTAAGCATACTGACATAAAAAGTAACTTAGAGTAGCAGATGCATACGCAACTTATAAACAAACACACAGATCAATTAAAACACTTTACATAATAAACCAATCATAGCAAAATTTTATACTGTAACGCCCTCTGTTTATTGATTCAGTGACAATGTTTATGATCAATAATCGTCAGAAACAGAAATAAAATGATAACTCTAAGAAATGTAAATTTACAAAATACCGGTTTGTTAAGGAAGGAAATATGTCAAACTGCACAACATAGTTACTTATAACTAAATAAGCAGAATTGCATATTATTCACAAATGAGGTTACTTGAGCTTACGTTTTAAAATTAACGTAAGTCAGTGAGCACGTAAGAGTTCGTGTACCTGACTACGAGGTTTGCTCATTGCTTAGAGGGTAATAATCTATGATGTGGGCTTTCGAACTCGGTATTAACTAATTGAAAATTAATTATTCAAATCAATATACTACAGGTTAATATAAAGTGACAGGTAAGTCCATGACACTATGGTGAAACAGAACCGATGGGAGAGGTGTGTATTTGTTGTGATCTAGTAATTAATAGATTTATATTTCCATAAGAAACCTTAAGCAACACAGTCAAACGATATATTTGTTGAATTACCTCTTCAGCTTTTTCTACCTGATTAAAAAATTTCAGTCTGAAATAGTGCATTGCAAGTAATCACTTGTTTAAAAATCATATAAAAACCCTATCTGAAATAGTTAAATTAAGCATAAGTATGAACTGACTGAGGTTTTAGTGACGCTGTGGTTTCCGAATCGGAATCATGGCTCAACAATTTACCAAATCGAACAAGGATTGATTTGTGATGTTCTAACGAATAGAAATTAGAATTACTGACATTTTGCAAGATAATTTAAGTTTACTCTGAAGAAGCCATTCAAATGAAGTCGTGAAACGTCTGAAATCTAAATTTCTACTCATTGAGATAGTACAAATACATTATTATTTGATTGTTAACATTGTACTTAATTTTCAGTTTATTTGAAATTATTAAGTCAATCCTTGTTTATTATACTTCTGATGCTCATATTATTTATTATGAAATATCAAAATTATATTAATAGAATAGAAGGCCAAAAAGAGGTTATAGATTTAAGAAGAAATGAAAAAAGGAAGATGATAAAGTGGTTTAAAGGAAAAAACGAATACAATCTGTGTGCGTAAGTAATTGAGATTGGTTTCTTTCCCTACAAAAGAAGTCCGTCCACTTTGTTTTAAACACAAAAGCAACTTTAATATGATAACCACTGATGATTTTCAGTTGTATTTGATAATAACTCAAACGACTGAGTAGCATGATCTCCATAACTCTAACTAATAAGTCACGATAAAATAACAGATATTAAAAAAAAAATACACCCACCTTCATTCTACGATGCTGTATTGAAAGACTAGCTATATACTCGTGCCTTCACTCCATTCCCAGAATCACCAGACTAATTTATTTATTCGAACAAATAAATATTGGTACAAAAGGGAACAGAAGACATATGGACCACACAAGTCACTTGACTTGTATTTAGGCTATGATACTGCCAGGGTGCCTAAACCGAAGCACGAGGTTTTCTTAGGGGGCCGCACCCCGAGCCTTCGATCTATGGGTCTGATCCACAAGCCGTGAAGCAACGTCGGAAGAGGCAGTCCCGGTTACCGGTGACCAGCGATTGGTTCATACGCCATTTGTTCTCTTAGGATCCTGAAGCCCATGTACACAACTGGTTTGGAATCAGGGTTTTATAAGTTCTCTAGGTGGATCCTTTGTATCCACGAATCCAATTAAAGCGCCGGACATTCACTTCTCGTTTTCTCAATTGCGTAAACAACACACCCGCCATGAGAAGGAAGTGAGTAGGACTAGTCTGGCAGTGCTTTTATGCGCGTGGCCATGTGAAAGCATTTCGAGGGGGGGGGGCGGACTCTCCCCAAATTCGGTCGTACCAGGGTATGTGTTTGATATTTAAGCCAATGAAACGTCATGAATTAAATGAATTCATGATGATATCGCCGAAAGAATAGTGATAATTATTTTTTGACGAAAACTCGCTGGCGAACTTCAGTATTGCTAAACGTTTTGTTGCTGATTAAGATTATTACTTAAAAAACTGATAATTGGAAACATATTTTCTTGAACATTCTCAGTCCAGAGAGAATAGGCTTCATAGTCACAGGGCGAAACTACTTGTAACACAGTGTTATGCACCCAATGATTTATGACCAAACTGACTTCGGAACAACATCAAAGAAGATTTAAACTGATATGAGTTGCTCATTTATTCGATAAACGTAGACCAATAACTTCTGCTAGACCACCTGTCCGTACAACTACTCAAATGCAAAAACAGTTCAAATATTTATCACAGTTTACTCTTGAGTATAAGAACAGACACAGTTTATCCCTTCCACTTAGAAGCATTTTGAAATAATAGAGTATAATTTATACTCAGAGACGATTATTGCCAGCTATTAAAATGCGATTCATATAGGCTACACAACATTGTACAGAAAGAAGTTGTCATTGATACGTCTTGTCGATGAAACGCTATATAAGATTCCTTAGCTATTTCGGTAACCCGCAGTCTAGAACTACACAGCGACTCGAACTCCAAAGAGAAGACACAAGTATGAAAGAAAATATTTATCCCAAGGTTCATTTTTGTACAGAAAATCAAGGGTATTTATAGATGTTGACGTCTGTTAAATCAACATATTTTCAGCCAATCCGTTAACGTCATATTATGCTACCGACCAATAATAGCACGCCACGCTGGAATTCTCGAACGTTCCATCGTACTCTGATTGGCTAGGATCCTTCGGCTCCTTTTGGGCCTCTGGAGGCTCCGTTGAAGTTCTGCGGAAGCCGACTCAACAGTCATTTACATACTTTGTTAACAAAACTAAACCATTACTACATACTTTATTAAGAGCTGTTTTAACAATGCTATCGATGAAAAGTTGAGGAGGGATGGTCGGAGTAAATAGCCCTACAGAAGTTAACTCATGATTTGAAATAATGTAGGTGAAGTGATTGTGTATATTCAGTTTACCTGATTTCGTTTCTTATGGAGGTTCCATGATATCAATAAATCTCCTAGGTATTTTCAGAATCAGTGAAAAGTTTCGACGAAACATGTGATTACAGAATAACGACGTCGATTACACGACTGAAATACTACATTCAAGAAAATCTATTTGTAAACTTCTAAGATGAATCAGAAATTCAACAGATACAAGCTACAGAGGTAAAGACTGAAATTAAGATGAGAAGGAGCATAAAGGAAGTGCATGTAGAATTGCGCAAATACATAAGATCATAACAGAAATCGAGTTTAAAATAAAATTATTGAAGTACGTAGGGATATATTTGAAAGGCGAATCATTTAAATTTCTTATTTCCAAATGTTATACATGAAGTGAAGGTTAAGATAATATTGAGGTGTTAAAAGTGAATTGGTTACTTTCCGAAAAGTGATCACCTTTACAAACCTTTAATGAAACCACCTGTGCATAAGGCAAAGACGTACCGTTAGAAAAATTGGTTCTGTGATAACCAGAGAACATAAAACGTCTTTACATTAATAGCTTGTTATGAACATTAAGACGAATATGCGACTTGTTTGGAATAGAGTTTGCTAACCTTACCAGTCGAATTCTTTGTGTCCATTTACCCAGTCAATCCATCATATCTGCTTTTACATTTTTGTTTTTCTGGCAACAGTAGCACAGTAGCCTAGAACACCTTTGTTAGACAATACATAACTAAATATCTATTACTTTTTTTCGAGACAAATAGAAAATGTTTATCATCCAATAACACATTTAGGTATTGAAAATCCTATAAAAATGGCATAAAATTAAAAGCTTCAACCATTAACTTATCGTTAACGAAACATTATTTTTTTCTCCTTGTCAATTTACCTTCATATTTTGCCAAAAGTATTTTCTTCGTACACGACCAGCAACTGCCTGAAACTGTTTGGATTGAACTTGTAATTCATCTGAAAGAATGGTCAAAGGTCAAATCAAAATAATAATTCCTCCACCTAGACATCGGTATATTTTACAAACAGCAATATTATAATAGGATACATCATTTTTAGAAACAAATTTACAAACAAGTTATCAGGTAGAGTGGTTGGTCGACGCAATTTATTTAGTATAGCCAAATAACGAATAAAGTTTTCTAGTAAAAAAAAAATACATGACACAGAAACAGTTATTTTATTCTTAATTACAACTTTGAATGCATTACTATTTTTGTCATCTACACTGAGATCTTCATTTTTTAATAGTTCTTTGACTATACTAGGATCTAGAAGTCTATGTTTTCTAAATTTAAGAAACTTATCGGTATGCACCTGTTTAAGTTTTTAGACTGGTTTGTCGAAGGGTTACAAACACCTTGAGGTAGATAAACAAGAAGCACGAAATCAAAATTCATTAGTCTGACAGTAAGATGCATTAATAATAAGACCCTAAGCCTGGAGAAAGTCAGTAATGTGTTATGAAGTATCCGATTATGACGCTGATACATAAACTTCATACATGCATCCCCAACAGGTTAGTTGGGTGAGAGGACAGCCAGTTAGAAGAATACTTTATTGGTCAAATCGAGAGGAAAATATATGTACAATTATCCATAAACAAACATATATTTCCCTTCACAAAAGAGGTCACATTTTCAACTAGCAGCGTATTTCGCTCCTTAGAAAAGGGAGTCTAAACTTGGTCAATAGCGTCTGCTTATAATCTGGTTGATGTTCAACTAGCCCACTACATCATCAGTCAGTGAAGTGAGTCACTACACAGAGGGCTCTTTGATTTTCAGTAACTGTTCGGTGACGCTAAAAACACAACTTACAAAATATAAATGAATGAAATCATGAACCGATCAACGTGAGACCACCATTGAAAACCTATAAGCACTGTATGGCTGTTTCGTCTTATTATGGGACTTATCAGTATTGCGTATCCACAACACCACACACGGGACTCGAGCTCAGGGCCTAAAATTGTTCTGTTCATGATCCTAATGAAATTTGACAATTTCGATAACTCATACTGACGAATAAATGAGTTTGGATATCACAAATGACTAAGAATATTTTGAAAATGAGAGTTCTGTATATTGAGTGAACGCTTTAGTCTATTTTGTGTATAAATGAGATAAGTAATGCTGACCAATACATTGTCGTGTGAATGGTTTGATAATTAGACTAGGTTGTCATTTCAAGTGTCATGGGATATTAGAATCTTGTTGTCATGTTATGACTGTTGTTGAGTAAATGTTAATGATTCCGATTATACGTACGTACAATAAAGCGTTTATTATCGAACAGGTTACTTAACCGCGCCGTTACCAAATAAAAATAACAGCGTTCATGGAATTTAATGCAGTTGAGACACGAAGTAACTCCTCGATACTAGCCAAAACTGTCCCAAGCACTGATGAAAGTTTAGTTTACCAATCCTGAAATGCATTGAAGCGACCAAATAGAGTGACGTTACACTGTAAATTTCTTTCTGGTACAAGACAAGACGTTCAAAGCCAGTCGGTTGAAAATCACAAACCTTAATTTTGTATCGTCCTTGTTGACTTTCCTTACAAAATGAACGCTGAAAACTCTGAGTGAAGATATTTAAGGACATTACAATTAAGCTTCACTAAAATTGAGCATTTAGTTTAATGACCATACAGGAAATAGTGATTAATATACTTCGACAGTCAGTTATGACTTAAGCATAGGAGTTGATACTAGTCCACAGCTAATTTCATTTATGAATGACGTATATGGAGGTTAACTGTTGAGGTTGAACAGAAACATGAGGAAGGATTTTATGCTACTGCACTACCCCATGATTTTCAAATTGTCCATTAGACATCTGTACAGAAATTGGAAACACTGGTACGAAAAAAAACAATGGCTGAAGTATTTTCTAAGTGTTTTGATCGAAATGTATTGCTTATTAACAGAGAAATGAACATATGACAAAAATATTTTTTGCGGGATTCCAATTAAAGAGGTTATATATATTTAACTTAAAAGGAAAAATGTCACTTTATGAAAAACTGTAGTTACTATAAGTGGTTCATAATTTTATTTACATAACATAAAACTAAAGATTATTTAAAATTTTTAGAGATAGTAAATAACCAGTCGCACTAGAAGTGACATGATAAAAAATTTCCTGTAAAATTCACATGGACTGACTGTTACAAAAGGAAAAATAAAGCTACATGGAGAGTCGACGATAGATTCGCTTTACAATCTTGATCCTATGTGCCGAAATAATTTATAAAATCGATATACATACAAAAAAGGTATTAATAAAACACACTAACTGAAATTGGTCTTTTCTAAGAGTTGGTGATAAGTAGAGGCTTTAATATTAACCAAAAATTAATTTGAAAGTGAACAAACTTATAAAGAAAATATAAGTTTCAATTGTAATCATTTTACTTCTTTAGACACTTTTAAGATCGTTTGTGAAATTGTATAAGTAATTTTTGTAAAAAAAGAACACAAAAGTTGAACTTCAGGGATGAACGCTATTATCAACTGGTAGAGAGTACAGAAAATTTGAAGAATCATATATTCTATTGATTCAGAAAATAAGAAATTTAAATTTGAACAACTTCCGGTTACATAAAATACTTAGAAACTATTAGAAAGATTCCATAAACTACTTATCAAGTAGCTAGAAGTAGGTCCAAAGTGTTTATTCCTTTTTAATTTATAGCATTTGTCAAATTATTTGAAGAAATAGGTTACATTTAGGAGTAATTTACCGTCAAGAGTAGAAGTGCCATAGGCAACGGATCTTCAGTGAAACAAGAGACTACTCCTGATTCTCATAAAGTAATAGGTATTTAATGAGTACCAAATAAATTTTTCGAGTATAAAATATATTCATTATATGATCACAGGTCGAAATTCATAGGCTACATCAATAAATAATTACTCTACTGGATATCGTAATACAAATATATTCACAAGTAGAATTTAATTCGATTTTGTATAATTTGTCCACACTCATAGTTCTAGTTTTTCATTTTAGGCAATATGAGTAAAAGGTTAGAGAATAGTATACCGTTAAAGATGGATTCATATTCAAAGTTTTGAAATCAACCACAACATGCATTAAGGAGACAAATAGGTGAACATTTCCGCTGCTAAGTGATTGCGTATAAAGTAGAGAAAATGAGGGTTATGTGTATAATGATAATGTTACGAATAGGGTGCAACTAGTATTTTTGTTTCTATCTTGCACTCGGTTAAACTTCACTACTTAACACATCTGCAAACTTTTCCAGTTAATCTACGTCAATCAACTATGTAAACAAATAATTAACAATATAATATATGGGAAGACCATCAACAACCGATTGTTAAGAGTATAATTAAAATTAATCACTTGAAGTATATGGAAATTAGTTTGTATTAAAAACAGAAAAAGAAACCTAATTAAGCATACAGTATAATCAAGAGACAAAACTACACTAGATGTCCAACTAAATAGAACCATGAAAAAAACTAAGTGAATATATATCTGAGTTCAGTTAAAGAAACAATGTAGGAGTGCGGTGTTTCGAAGAAAAAATATACAACATTAAATTACTGTGTAAAAAGTGACCAGAATACAATCTTCGGTAAGACACAACACAGTTTACATACAATAACAAACGATATCTCACCAATTTCATTCAAGTGTTATAAGGCAAGTTGAACTAGCAATATTCATTCATTCTCACACTAAAGTGAACAAATATCATAGAGACATATCACGTATTAGGGGACTAAATGATTAGAAAATATAATAGATAAGAAAACAATTGGTTGTTTCATCGTGGCCAAAGAAATAATTTATTTATCAACAAGTCACAAGTCGGGGGCTTGCTACACTTATTCTGCTATGCGTAACCAGATTGTACAACTGTCCTTCACACAAATGGTATTGGTGAAAGGTGAGTAGACAAATCTGTACCTGTTTGAGCCAGTGCTATTTATTAGATGTTCCAAGGTATATGTTAATGATCAGCTTATATCCTAGTATAAATATGAATTAAATCATGGAATTTATTTTGTTCTATTTAGGATCACTATAATTCTCCAAATCATAAGAGGAAAGTATGAGGGATATATCACTTTCATTAATGTATTTTAATGCACATAAATTGATAAAAGACATAGTACATTTAACTTGCAGTTACGTGACTAGCAGTGACAATAACAAATCTGGATTATTCTCGCAATTTAGATCACGGACTGATCTTAGCTAGGTCACCACTGAAGGCTTGAAAGCACTGAACGGACGATTTGTCCTAGTATGAGACTCCTCAGCAGTGCGGATTCACGACCTCGTATCCAAAAAGAGAACCCAGAACCTACGACCTCGCCCGCGAGCGCTAAACCTCTAGATCACTGAGCCGGCATCCAGTGGCATTAATTTCGAACTCCGAACAAATCATGATAATGTGCAACCCTCATCTATTGCATGGAGTGGATAGCTGTCTTACACCCGACACAGATTCCAGATTTTCAATGGTAGTCTAGCCAAGATCAGTTCGTGATTTAAACTGTGAAAATTCCACAATTCCTGAAAACCGCTTATACTAAAATATAGATTAAACAATACCTGGAAAATATAAAGTGTGACTACGAAAAATTAGGCATTATACCTTCAGGAATAAAAGTGAATAAATAATAATCCAGTTTGCAGAAACTAAAAAGTTGAAGCACAAAAACTTATATACTACGGAGCGATTGGTGACACAATAAACCGAAAGTGATAAAATGAATTTTTTTATTAGAAACAATATATAGAACATTAACCGCGTCAGAAAATATGTCCAACTGTGGTTTAGATTGAATGATATCACGAAAAACATCTCTTAAACTTATACGAATGATTATCTTGTAGGCTATTTTATGTTATTCCAAAAAACATTAAACATAAATATGAACTACCGAAGATCACTTTTGTGGGATTTATCACTGTTTCAACAAAATTGTAGTACTGGCTTAGCGGGTGGAAATGACTCGTCGTAAACGCTTATTCGGCTAATAACTATAATGACTAACACATAATCCTAAGGAAATAAATAGTATATGAACCAATTATTGGAACATTTCCCGACATTGTTCCACTTCCTTGTGGATCAGACCTTTAGGTCGAAGGCTCTGGCTGTGGTCCACTAAGAAAACCACCTGCTTCAGTTTGGGCACCCGGGCAGTATCATAACCCACAGACAAATCAAGTGACTTGTGTGGCGCGTATGTATACGGTAAAAGGTCGGATCTACAACGCGTCGGTGAGAGCAGTTCTGCTCTATGCTTGTGAAACCTGGCCACTCCGAGTTGAGGACGTTAGACGACTCTCTGTGTTCGATCATCGCTGTCTCCGAAGGATTGCTGACATTCAGTGGCAACACCATGTCAGCAATGCAGAGGTTCGGCATCGTGTGTTCGGGCACAGAGATGATAATTCAATTGGTGTCACCATCTTGAAACACCGACTTCGGTGGCTTGGACATGTTCTCCGAATGTCGTCCCAGAGAATTCCATGTCGTGCATTATTTGCCAACGCTGGGACTGGTTGGAAAAAGCGGAGGTGGTCAGTATATGACATGATGTCGTGGTATGAAAGAAAGCTGCAAAGGACTGGCTTCTGTCGGTCCTTCACGACTCCCTGGTTGGGGTCTGAGAGATGGTGCTACACAGTGGCTAGAGACGTTATCATATATGGCTCAGAATAGAAGCCAGTGGCGATCCTGCTGTAACCTTCTTTTACTTTCTTCATAAAAAGTGGTTGTGTCTCCCTTACCTGAAAGATTTCTTCTGATTGTACCTTTTCGTTCCCTCGTTACTACCACACTACCTTACACCAATCTCTTCGTTATTGTTCTCTTTTTCTTTTGCGCTCCTTAGTTTTTTTGTACTTCTCTTCGAATTTTCATTGTTTTGTGTGGCGCATATATATTGGCGCTCTCTTGTACCAATATTCATGTGTTCAAATAAAATAAATACTAAATAAAATACGGTACCTCCTTGTACCAATATTTATGTGTTCAAATAAATAAATGCGCCGCACAATAAAAACGAAGTTGGGAAGAGATAGAGGAAGGAAGGCGAGTATAAAAACTGAATTGGATATAAATTAGTGTATGAGGGTGAGAACAACGATAATATCGAGAGAAAAAGTCCAGCTAAGAAAAAAAACCCGACAAGGATTGTTATAAAGAAGTCCCTATCAACCATATAAAAAGTAAAGTTACAACAGGATCGCCACTGGTTTCTATTGCGAGCCATGTCTGATAAAGTCTCAAGCCATTATGTTTTACAACTAAAGGACTTATTTTGACTTGAATAAATATTCTGCCTAGTTCTTCTATATTGTTTAAGCTTGTGTTAATTTATTTCCGTTATTTACTTTCAAGAAGTGGCTTAAACTAAGTCATGAAATATCAGAAATCCAAATTTCTACACATCGAGATACCACAAATACATCATTATTTTATTATTAACTTTCTACCTATTCGAAATCATCAAGCTGCACCTTGGTGTTGATACCTAGTCGTACAGTGTTTTTCGTGATCTGAGTGGATGATGATTACAAGGAACAATGATATATCACTCATATTCGCAATTTATCTCTGAATTTAATTTATTTCACTCACCTACACACAACGATAGAAAATAAACGATGGGGTGTGAAGAACTACAGACTGTAAGTAGTATGTAATCTTACTACAATTACAGAGACGGACTACCATACGCCTTATCTCTATAAATTCCTGGTGATACGTACCACATTTGATCCCCTTATTATATAAATGACGACTGTGGGTAATAATAACCAGGAAAGACTGTAATCAAAATAGCAAATCCTTGTGAAGAATCCCGAGTCTTACCACTAAATGCTAAATGTCATAGTTAGTTGAACATACCGACTACTCACATTACATAATAAGAAATATCATAGATTTCTCGTTTTAAGTATTGAACCTAAAGTCAGATTTTCACATTGCAAAAGTTTATTTATTTAGTTATGTCTGTGTGAGATGTAATATTCCATAATATTTCAGAGAGTAGCGATCTAGATGTTGAATTGATTAGTTGAAGAGTGAAAATATACAGAAGGATATATCAAAAAGGTAATACAACTGAAAATTTCATATTGAACGGACATATAAATAGGTCAATTATTCTCGACATACAGTTGCGCTCAAAAGTGGATCAGTCTAAGCTGCCATATCAAATCAACGCAACGGGATTAAATTAACACGATGAATAGTAAATGAGTGGAAATAATATTATCGATCTCAATTAGGATTAAATACTGAGAATATAGTCCGAAAAGGTATTTATGACGGAATACATAACTAACTTCATCAATAGTTTTCAAGCAGAGTCTTAACAAGTTTCATGCACGTCATTCGCACACTTTTCATTGACAAAAGTTAAAAAAAAACCTCGCGATTGACGAACTGGTGTAGCTTTGAGATGAAATACAACTATAGTTGAGTGTCGTCAATAGTTCCAAAACGTGACATATAATGAAATAAGTAAACGAGCAACAGGACAATCTTTACAACATGAAATTGTGACGACATATATCAGTAATCAAAACTGACTTCAATTAAAAGGTTACATACAATTGCATGAAGTTATATTCATTTTAACCAGTTTTTTCTAATCCCGAATTCAGTAAAACGTGAAAAACAACAAATATACGAAGTTGACTACCTACATGACTAAGATTTACGAAAAAGATAAGAAGTAGCATGTTTAGACAATTGGTAGCATTAACTCTAAAACTTGTCCGACTATCTTTTATTAGATTAACGGAAATATTGGTAATAAATAAATGAGGCAGATTTACAATAATTTAGTATAGTTATGGAGAAACTTTCATAGCTGACTAACATCATTTAAGGAAGTATCAGATATCTATCTCATTCATTAGAACATCATTGTATACTTATTTAACTAGTTTTCAAATGTCGAGTAAAGACATTACATATTTGGAGCTTATTTTGACATTTATGTAGTTTGACACTGATGATAATGAATAACTTCTGTATGAAAATTGATGTCAATTTATAATCATGTGAATATTGTACTTACGACCTTTCGTAGTCAACTGTAATTGTTTCTGTTATCTTTATTCAGATACTTGGCCGAATTGTAATTGCACTATTATTTCTCTTACCCTATCTAACCCATATTCATTCTGATCATGGATCTTAAATTTTCACTAAACATATATGAAGATTCAAGTTAACATTCTATATGAGTCATATCAACACTAACAATTTTATTCTATTTTGTTTGACAATCCTAAATTCACATGCTTTAAACGATGTACTTTGCACTTGAACTGGTCATTTTTCGGATTATCAATTTGGATATATAATTGCAGAACCTGAATAGAATTTACCAAAACGAATATTCTTCGTCCAAATATTAGTCTTCTAATATAAATATTAATCTATTTTAATTTCCTAAATAGGAGATTTAATAAATGAGGTATGCTCGAAAGTACAATTTACAAATCTGAAAGTCTCTCATGAAAACGAGCTAACTATATGGTAAGAGCTTAGATACGCAAAAGACATAAAATGGATAGATTACCGTACCAGCCCGAGTGTCGATTTCTGCTAAACGAGTTTCTCTATCCAATACGAGATTCACATTGTCTTTCATTATACCAACAACCTGAAATAAAGTAAGTTACAAACAAATATAAAGAAATTTTACCTCCTGAACTTTAGCCTGTTGCTGACGAATCCGATCATCGGCTTGATAATTATATTGATTATTCATTTTTAAAACGGTTTAAAAGTGTTTAACTTCAATTGCGATGGGAAATCTCACAAACACAAGCCTCCTAAAACAGAGAACTTCATTCAATGGAGTTAATAACTGCATCCAATTAAAGTATAGTCTTTATTAATAGCACCGTAAGATAATTTAAGGTAATGTTAAATTTCAGAATAAATCTGTGCTCAAGCAGGAGACAAATGTGTTTGTATAAACAAAGATCTGAACAGACTATGGTATGAGTGAGTTTGTTGTTAAACTAGAAATTGTCCCCAAATGCCCTGGTATGGCCGAGAGTGGGGTGGGCCCGCCCTCCCCCTCGAAATACTCTCACACGGCCACACGTATACAGCCTCTGCCAGGGAAGTCCTACTCATTGCCTTCTCGTGGCGGGAGTGTTGTTTACGAAAATGAGAGGACGAAAAGCGAATGTCCGGCGCTTTAACCGGATTCCAAACCATTGGTAAACATGGGCTCCAGTATCCCAAGGGAACAAATGGCGTATGAACCAATCGTTGGTCACTGGCTACCATGGGACTGCATCTCCTTATGATGCTCCACTGCCTTGTGGATCAGACCTTTAGGTCTACGGCTCGGGGTGTGGCCCCCTAAGATAGCCACCTGCTTCGGTCTGGGCATCCGAGCAGTATCACAGCTCACACACAAATATGATTAACTGTCGATAATTATGGAAAATACTTTTCTTGCTTCAATTAACAATCAAACGATTCACATTATTATTATTGTTATTATTTACTACGTCATTTATTCACTCTCTTTTATTCCTACTTTCTATCCTTATTTTTTGACTTATACAGCAGCTCGCCTATGGTGGATTTTCGATTCTATCTAAACGTTCTCGAGTAGAGACGTTATCAGATATGGCTCAGAATAGAAGCCATTGGCGATCCGGCTGTAACCTTTTAATTTCTTCATAAAAAGTGGTTGCTTCTTCCTTAACTGAAAGATCTCTTCTGAGTGTACGTTTCTGTTTCCCCCATTATTATTACTACACTACCTTACACTAATCTGTTCGTTATCGTTTTTTTACGCTCCTTACCTTTTTTTCCTTCTCTGCAATTCTGATTGTTTTGTGTGGCGCATATATATTTGGTGCCCTCCTGTACCAATATTTATGTGTTCAAATAAATAAATAAATAAATAAACTAGAAATTCCGAGAAAAATGTATTGATTTTTGTAACCACTGCCGGTAAAACTCTGTTCAGTACTATTCATCCATCAAAAACCTAAGACCTGGACAAAATATGCATCGACCTAAGTATTCATACTTCATATAACTATAATGAAAAGAAATACGCAGGATTAGATCAAATAAAGTGAAGTAATAAGATCGATTGTAGTGGAAACTAAAACCGGGAATAAAGCATGTGATACCTGAACAAGAAGTGTGATATAAAACTAAAGCTTTGAAATTCAATGCATCAGTTGTGGATTTTTGTCTGTTGGTACTATCTAAAGTTACTACCCATTTTTTCGACAGTATCCATTAGTAGGAAACCTGACGTAACCATTTAAAGCATACATCAAATTAAAGCCTCTCACTACCAATATGTACAGTCTAGAGCAATGTGAGAAATGCCAATTTCACAACCGGTCTGCATACGAAACCGAATTTAATATATTTCCTGGTATTAGTGAAGTGTATGTGAAGACATGTATGAAATAAGTTTCGCAAACAACGCTAACTCTATAAGTTTTCAATAATTTAACCAACAAGCATTAATCACTGCAAACACACGCATTGTGATTTCTATGGAATACCATTTCATAGCGACACTTCAATTTTGCTCCTTATTGATCTGCTGAGGATACAAAACACTTTTATACATAAAATATATAGTTAACAAATGTAGAGAAAAAATAAGACAGATGGTTGAGGGAAGAAGGGTAGTGAAGTGGTAATGATGAAGAAATACTTTACAAGTACGCATTTAGTTGATAAAATATGGGAACTTTGGTTAAAATACAAAGCAAGAAATGTAGATAACGAATAATGTGTGTTGACAAGTGCGTGAAAAAGTGATCTTAAATAGTCTTAAAGTATAATCCAAAACCTATTGTTAGTGTCCGATCATAGTTTATTAAGAGAACAGAAGACAGAAAATTAGATTAGGAAAAATCTAAACCATATTGGAGATGATAACTTTCATGTACCTGTACATCACTGATGAACAAGGAGGATCTGATGCAGACGTAAAGGAAAGGATTGGCGAAGCAAGGATAACATTTCTACAGTTGAAGAACATACAGAACTCAAAACGACTGTCAACCAATACCAAAGTGAAAACCTTTAATACGGACGTCAAGACGGTTCTACTGTACGGAAATGAAACTTGGAGAACTACTCCAATCATCATCAGAAAGGTGGAAGTATTTATAAATAATCGACTACCCCCCCCCAAGATACTGAATGTCCGTTGACTGGATACTATCGGCAACAACTTACTGTGACAAACCAGCTTCCAAATGAAGAGTAAAATAGCAAAAGACTCCGGAGGTGGATAGGATGTACACTGCGGAAATCACCAAACTGCATCACGAAGCAAGCGCCAACTTGGAATCCTAGCAAAAAATGGAAAAGAGGAAGGCCAAAGAACACACCGCCGAGAATTGGAAGCAGACACCAAAAGAATGAACAACGAATGAAAACAACTAGAAAGAATTGCCCAAGACAGAGTTAGATTGAGAATACCGGTGGGCGGCCTTAGCTCATCCGTAAGGGGTAACAAGAGTAAGTAAATATGGGAGATAAGGGGAATTATAACTGCTAAAGTGAATATTAGCGCAACAACAATGAAGCTAATTACGAGAACCCCAGAAACAATGTATACGACAAACTCAGGAAATTAAACTACACAAGCTCAAGTCCCTAAAACTATCACTTCATATCACTAAATGACCATGTATTTGAATAAAGTAACATTGAGTCAGGCAAACCGGTGTTTAGTAATACTTGTTATGGAACTACTATGCAATGTAAATTCCCTGAGGACTATAGTATATGTTATTTGGAAATACTTCGTAAAATTCCAAAGTTACATAAAAGAGACGTTTTCACAGATAGATCTCGCAGAGAAAAAGGAGTAAATCTGAACAACACAAACGTGTGAGGTAAACAATGTAAGGAGATAGTACTCCAGTAGCGAACTTCTTATAATCTATTTTAAACTATTTACAAAAAAGAAACACATTTTTTTCTATTATGGCCAACGAGAAAAGGAATTTGAATTCAAAACATTACCTTGCAGAAATATAAAATATAAATTAAGGACATTTCGCAGGCAGTCAGAAAAATAAATAAGGGGAAAAGTAATGAGGAAGTAATAACAGACAATTGCCTGCTTTTGCAAAATGCTGATTATTTGTTGTCTGAATATTGGGAAACGGTAGACAATTCTGAGTTCGTTTTGCGATAAAGTAGGCGATTTGGACAAGGTAAAAGTGAAAGGCTCGGCACACTCATTCTTAATGGGGAGACTTAGGAGAAAATTCTCGCATACCCAAGACTGAGAAAAACAACTTAAACTTAGAGAATTGTCGCCCATAATCACACCGACTTACTTATGGAAGTTTCTCAACGTTCTAACTTATTTGCCTTTTTTATTCGTTTAAGCTAACTATGTTGGGATAGAAGAGCTTTGTGACATTATGACTTAAGTCATCACACAACCTGTAAGCAAATCATTCTGCGCACATTCTCGTGAAAACTAAACAATTTGGCGGGAAATCAATGGTATTTCAAACCCAAGGCGACTAGATAGATAAATGCCGAACTAATTTCCCACAGCAAATGTTCGGGTCATTTTCCTTTTATTTTTCCATATTGTCTTAGGGAATGTCCATTTTCCCGTGTTTGCTTATATTACCTCTTTCTGGTTTGTTTGAATTCCATGAATGTATCATCTTACAACATTTCAATGAAGAAATTCCATAAACGATGTTGGGATTATGAGTCAAGATTAGCAAAAATGATGATGTAATGACAAGAATGATTATTGACTGAAACCAAAAGTGACCTTTTATGACGAGAAAATGTTTAAAGTGTGCGGTGAAATATTTAAGAAGGACAAATCACTAACAGGTTCAAATGGTTTTGGAAGGGACATAAGAAGCTTTAGCTTAACAGACCTACGTATCTAGTAGCAGTGGGTCATTAATACCTGTAGGAAGGATTCTGGATATATTATCGTTAAAAGAGGAAAAAGCAGTTGGTAGGTCATTATCACTAGCCTTTTAAAGTTTGTCAAATTTTCTCATATGGGGCTCCCAGGGAGATCGCTTGAACAATGCCGGACGGCAGTGAATTCCTGAATTTGATTACTCTTAAGGAGTAGAAGTTGTGTCTATAGTCTGTTCTGCTGAGTTGTGTTTCCAGTTTTTGGAAATTACCCCTCAGGTTTGTGTTGGAGCTAAATTTAAATAGGTGTTTGAGGAGATGTCCAGAAGTATTAAGAATGCTGTAAGATATTCGAAAGTCACATCTTAGACGCCTGTACTCTAATAGGTAATGGTTTAGTGATTGGAAGCGCTCTTCATATGGCTTGAATTTGAGCCCCCGAACTGATTTCGTGGCTCGCCGTTGGATACAATCCAGAGTGTCCTTAACCTTTTGGAATGAGTGAGGATATACTGTATTTCCGCACACTAAATGGAAACAAATAAATCTGTAAAGAATATATAGAAAGTTCTGCCGTCAAACTGACCAAAAATGCGCTTCATAGTTACTAGTTCAAGGTTTACCCGGAAGGTACTTTTGTCGCAGTTAGCGTAAGACTTCGAATAGTAGTTTGCCAGCATTCCTTAATATTTTTCAACCTGGGTTACTTATAGAGGAAAGTCGCCTAAGCTGTAGCTGTAGTTTGTAACATGTCGCAGACGGACTACTTTACACTTCCAAGCGTTGAAGATAAGTCCATTGTCATCTACCCAATTCTGAAGTCGAATCAGATCCTCCTGAAATCCCAGTATATCCTCTTGGTTGACAATCTCTCTCCTTACAAATTTTCACATCACCATAAAAAAGTAATAGGTCTGACGATGTCTGATGTGGAAGACCGTTTATACAAACGGAGATGAGAAGAGGTCCTAGTAGTAAACACTGGAGGTCCACACTAGGACATTCCATAGTCTGAGAAAGTGAAGTTAACCTCAAAATGTCGATTTTTTAGACATGAAGTGAACCAATCAATTAAAAGTGATTTTATACCTAACCGTTTGAGCTTACTGATAAGACATATATATTTGATTCTATCAAAAGCTTATGAGAAATCGAGGTAAATGATGTCAACCTTAAGGATGGTTGTCCATCTGTCCACTGCACTCAGCAGGTTGGATATGCAAGAATAACCCTTATCGAAACTGTGCTGTTGGGATGAAAAGAGGTTTAAGGATAATAAGTAGTCGTGTATATCGTCGTATATCAAGGACTCCATAATTTTGAAGGTACAAAGATAAGAGCCACTAGTTGGTAGCTTGAAGGCTTTCTGAGTCGACATCTTGCCTGTAAACTGGCATGCCTCATGTAACAAATTGTTATTTGAGAATAAATTAATATTATTATTATCCTTTGAAAGTCGTAGTGACGTGAGCCAGCTTCCGAGTTTCCGGTAATTTGACCCGGCTTAGCGAGTGTGGGAACATCACGCTAGCCGGTAATGCCCAGATTGAAGCTGCTTCCCTCAGTATAGCAGAATGAACCACATCCACACCAGAGGAAGTATCTCTATTAGATGCTTCATTTTCCGGCATACCAAATCAGCGACCAGATTAACTTTTGAAAGTTTTGTGGAGTTGCAGATGAAGCTTTTATCAATATAGCAAATGTAGGTCAGTTGAAATATCTGAGGGTACTGTTCAGCCAAAGGATTAGCTCCGTCAACGACGTTATTAGTCAGGCCATTCCGACCTAGCAGCTGGGAAACTCCAGTTTTATCTTGCCGAAGAGAGGTTGCATAACAGAATAATGTTTTCGGATTAGAGAAAATTTATCGGCAAGCTTCATCTGGTGCTGAAGCTTGTTTTATCTTGTGCGTTTATGCATATTTTCCGTTTTTTATTGCCTGTATCTGCCATTGTTACCAGTTCGTCTTTATTCTGCGCGGAAGTGCATTTTTGCAGCTTAGGAAAGCAAGAATATACGTATAGTATTGGTCCACAAATGGATCCTAAAATTACCATTCATTATTTTTGTCGTGAAATAACGCTCCTCCCCTTTTTGAAGATCCGGAGTTGATATCTGGATTTTAAATTTTCCGACTCCATCCTTCCCCGCGAAATAATGTTGGGTCCTCATATACTTAAGTTACAATTAATTCGACTGTATTTAAAACATTGTAGCGCGGCGTCGAGTCCCAATTGACTATGAACACCGCTACCAAGAAACACGTGCCAAAGAATTCAGAAAGCGAATGTTGAACGTAACCCGATTTATTCGGTTGGCGATCTCGTGGTATAGAACGAATACCAAGATCGTGGCAAGAAATGGTACGAGCGAAAGCAGGAGAATGGAGTACGTGCGGATAGTACCAAAAACCGCGGAACAATGATGGAAGGTAATGATAGCACAAAATGGCTGTAATTAGCACAGCTAAACAAAAGCACATTAAAACAGTCACTGGTACAGTTGGTTATAATAATAATTGTTTTCATTAAACCAATCGTGTTCTCGTGATGAAGATGTATCACTACAGGAGCCACCTGCTAGAAAGGGTTTACACTTTCGATAAATAGCGGTTTAAATTGTGGGACTGATCGGCTGACGAGCGATTGTAGGACGGAAGAATTGGCGAACAGGAAAGCGATCGTTGATCGTCGAGTTGCCAATGAAGTTATTTTTCGGAGAACGGTACCAGGGGCGATGCGCTGTATTTGTTGCTTGAGTTGACATGCTACACGAGAGTGGTTTGCATCCAGAATCTGAAGATTGCATTGGTAGGGATGCGGACGAGAAACGCTGCAGACGTAGGGCGAAACCACGTTGAGCCGATGAACCAGAAGCGACCATGACGACAAAGTTCGAGACCAAGCGTATGCCAAACATTCGAAACCAAAATATCGAGTGAGTGCGTTGACAAGAGTATGGGTAGCTAATCCAGCTTTCGCCAAAGTTGGCTGAAGTCGACGGAACCAAACGGGGATGGTCGAAGGCGTGTGCTCAGGAAACAAAAAGAATATCAATAAAAAGAGAAGAATGTAGCATGCATGTAGCGTAGGAATAGCCCTACACCGTATCGGTTGTTAACTGTGCGGCTAGTCGCGGAAGCGTACGAGTAACTTTGTTCGGCAACCGGAACGTGAGACGGTAGTCTCGTTCGTATCGCGTGAGCCTGCAATCTCATCCGAGGTCAGAGGCGGTGTGGTCTGCTGATCTGGACGTGAGACTGTCGCTTCGTCCGTAGATGGTGCAGATGACGCGTGCTGTTGACCGGGACGTAAGAATGAGGTCTCAGATGTATCTAGCGTGGGACCTGAAGAAGATTTAAGGATCCCGCTAGTAGGTTTGATAGGTCTAGCATTGAATCTCAGGTTATCAGATAGGGAACTGTCATCGACGTATGCTGGTTTGAGACGATCAATGCTGACGATCTCGACGCGGCCATGTCGATCAACATTGAATGTCTTTTCGTGACGAGCGATCACGCGAAAAGGGCCTTCGTAAATTTGTTGAAAAGGTTTGCGTACCGAATCTACTCGTATGAAAACATGTGAACAGGTAGATAACTCTCGAATGAGAGCGACCTGTCGATGTTGTATTTGAGTTGACCTCGGAGACAGCAATCGCATAAATGCACACAGTCGTTGGACGTAGTCTGATTTAGCGAAATTAGGTCTGCTCCGTGGTGTGAAGGATTCTCCAGGCAGACGCAATGTCTTGCCGTATACAAGTTCCGTGGCGAAACATTGAATATCTGCCTTCAAGATCGTTCTGATGCCTAAGAGGTTTCGTACCAGTTGTCGATTTTGTGTGCTCTTAGAGCACTTTTAAGTTGGTAATGAAACCGTTCAACATAACCATTTGGTGCTGGGTGGTAGACGGTGATGCGAATGCGTATGCATTCCGTACCAAGCAGCCGGGTCAGCGAGGAGAATAGTCAATGGGGGAAAATTTCTCGATTAATTTGTCGTCACGCAAATAAAAAGTGCCAAGGATTCGGTACACATACATGGGAGTCTATTATATTAATACTATTTTTATCGTTATTCGTCATGTCGAGTATAGTATATATTAAAAGATAATATGAAGATATACGACAAACGTGAATAGATAAACGATAGACTCACCGAATTAGCTTCTTTGGGAGATTCGACCAGAGTTTGCGGCGTGTTCTAGAATTGGGCTCACCAGTTGTAGCGTGGCGTCGAGTCGCGATAGACTATGAACACCGCTACCAAGGAACGCGTACCAAGATATCCATAAAATCCCCCGGAAGCTAAATATCAGAAGGCATTTAATGGACCAAATCGAGATATATTTACTGGTGATCTCGTGATATCGAAAGGATACCAAGATCGTGCCAGGAGACAAGCTTAGTTACAGAATTTGCGCGAGGTCACAATCGAAGTGTGTGAATAAGGGATGCTTTTTAGCACAGTTAAACAAAGGCACATTAAAAACAGTCACTGTTACAATTTGTTACAATAATAATTGTTTTCTATAAACCAATCTTGTTCTCGTGATGAAGATGAGACACTACAAGTCTTTCGCTTGTAGTACTCTAACTTACACTGTGTACTTATTCGGCCCGAAGACATCAGAATTTCTTTTGATATTAATTCGCTTCTTTTTATTCACTGTTTTACAAAATTGCTAGAATAAAGTGTGTTACTAAGGGAGTATTAGTAATTCCATACAGTCAGTGTGAACACGACAAATTATTGATCTCTTCCTATCGTGTTCAGTGTATCTTAATGTATTCGGCAGTATTGCTATGCACGAAGTATTAGAATAATTTGAATTACTTGAAACAAAATAACGATTATATTCAGTTGTGAAACTTACGTTCTCATAATATAAAGATGTCTTCTCATTCGGATATATCAGGACAATCATTTTTAATGTAACATCTGCAAAGA